TTATTTTATGTTTATTATAAATGATTGTTTATTTATTTGAAATATTAATATATTACTTATTTAGTGTAGTGTGTTTTTAGTGTGTTTTAAGCGAGGTGAATGTCCTATATTTTTAAAATTTATTGTATCTCGTACGTTATCCGTATCTCGTGTTCCGTTTCGTTGCAAACTCCAGCTCTTGCTATCATGAGATTAATCTGATACACTAAACTAATCAATTCAGATTTTTTTATTACCAACAAAAAATGAAGTATTTTTAAATAATTTTTTTGGTTGTCATTGAAATAAGAAATTTTTTTCATTTTTGTTTTATAATTTATTATATTTATTGTTATTTATTTGAATATTAATGTATTACTTATTTAGTATTAGATGTGTTCTAAGCGTTATGGATGTTCTACTCTTTAAAAAATTATCTTATCCTATGTGTACGGTTTCGTATCTCGTGTTCCGTTTTCGTGCAACTCAAGGGCTTCTTTTTGGGGCTTTAAAATATGAGATTAATCTATCACACTTAACTTAATCAATCAAGAGTTTTTTTATTACCAACAAAAATGAAGTATTTTTAAATATTTTTTGTGCATTGAAATAAGAAATTTTTTTTATTTATGTTTATAATTTTATTATAATTTATTGTATTTATTTGAAATATTAATGTTTATTATTAGTAATAGTGTGTTCTTAAGCGTATGGATGGTCCTTTACCTCTTTTAAAATTATCGTACTTCCTATGTGTACGTTTCTTATCTCGTGTTCGTTTTGTGCAACTCAGCTTTGCTATATGAGATTAATCTATACACTAAACTAATCAAATCAAATTTTTTTATTACCAACAAAAAATTGAAGTATTTTTAAAATATTTTTTGTGTCATTGAAATAAGAAATTTTTTTTATTTTAATGTTTATAATTTATTACTAATTTATTGTTATTATTTGAAATAATTAATGTATTATTATTTAGTATAGTGTGTTCCTAAGCGTATGGGATGTCCTATCTTTTAAAAATCTATCGATATCTTATGTGTTTCAATTTATATTTTTTTAAATTGGCTTATTTTTTTGTTTATTTATAGTAATTTATTTGTTTATTCATTGCTCTTTTTTCAAGTGGTGGATTACTAATTAATTGTTTTGAAAGAAGAAATAAATTTATATTAATATATGTAAATTAAATGATAGAGGATAATTTTTTTTATAGATATTATCTTGGATATTATCTTGATATAGGGATTATCTGAAAATATAAAACAATTAATCTTTTTACAATTCTTACAATTGTGCTAAATTGTATGAATTCTAACATTCGTTATTCTATAATTCAAAATAATGTAAAGTGTGAAACTATGCTACTTACACTTAGCTTCCATATAAAGCAAACTACCTGCTTTTATATTATATAGATAGATCTAGATTTTTCAAAAGTAATAATAATTTTGAGAATTTAACTAATTATATTGAAATAAGAAATTAAGTTTTTTATTTATTTTATGTTTATTATTTATTATAAATTATTTATTATAAATGATTGTTTATTTATTATCATATCTCCCCGTATTTCGTGTCCCATGTCTATGCGACCTATCTTCTGATATATAAGACTACCACATACGTCAAGGTAATCATTAAAATAAGAAATTAAATATTTTTTTATTTTAATAGTTTGAGTTATATGTATTTTAGTTTAATTTAATTTAAACTAATTATATTAACATAAAAATTAAGTATTTTTTATTTTATGTTTTTTATTTTTTATAAATGATTGTTTATTTATTATCATGTATCTCGTACGTTCCGTATCTAGTGTCCTGTGTCCATGCAACCTAGCTCAAGTATTTCTTATTTTATGGCTTAGGTTATTTGTATTTTAATTAAATTTTAATTTAATTTAACACATTATTTTGATGGAATGTAACTAATAGAAACTAATAGATATTATTCATTCAAGTATTTCTTATTTTATGGCTTAGGTTATTTGTATTTTAATTAAATTTTAATTTAATTTAACACATTATTTTGATGGAATGTAACTAATAGATATTATCATGATAAAGACATTATCTAAAACTATAAAATAACTTATCTTCTTACAATTACTGTCATCACACCTTATTTTCTTACAACTGTACTAAATAATTATTTTCCTCCTCATACTTAACAATTTCAAAAGCTCACACTTGACTTCCAGCAAACTGCTCTTGCTTTTATATATATATATATATATATTATTGATTAAATTGCCCATTGTATTATAGAAATGATAATGTATTTAACAAAGTCTTGATTTTTCTCTATTTTAAGCACCGTTTAAGTTATTAAGACGAAAATTTTAATATATATATTAAACAACTTCAATTCTATTAAAAAAATTGTAATTGACCCTTATATCAATTTGAAAACGAATTTTACATTTTAAATTTATTTATAACAAATAGAGTTTTAAGTAAAAAACCGTTCGAAAATCTGGTCATAATAAACCCCGACAAGCACGTTCAATTGTTTTTTATTGCCTAACTTCTAGCTTGTACAAAAACATGGCACATATTTTACTCTCTATAATCAATATCACTAACCTATATATATAATCGTAAGCAAAAGATATCTTTAAAATATTGATTTGACGCTTTGCTTTTTTTTAGCATTCTATATTTACTTTTTTAGAATTTTTGAGTTTTTTTTCTTTTTTATAGTATTTTTAAATTAATAATTATTAATGATATCTTATAAAGATAAATATTTCTTTTATATTAATAATGATGTGGTGGTGGAGTGGTATTTGGGTTGATGATGGTGGTAGAGTGGTAATTGTGCTGGTGATGAAGGTGGAGTGATTGGTGGTGGTGGTAGTGGTGTGCTAATTACATTATATATTTACAAACAAACATAAAAAATGAATGGTGATTACATTCCATAAATTTTCTTAATTATATTACTAAATATAGCAATGAAATCTTGATTTCATTCAATTACATTATATTTTTCATTACATTACATGTTTGATTATATTACATTAAACCAAATATAGTCTAAGTATGAATAGATGCCAAAGCTAAAAGCAATATGATTGTGGTTATTTTAGACTACGTTTAGCTCAATGTAATTAAGTATGTAATAGAATGGATATTATATTACATAGTTGATTGCAATGTTTGGATGAATTTTTTTCTTTTGGATGAATTTTTTTCTTACTCCATGATCTAATGAGTACTACAATTATATTTACCATTATTTAAAATAATGTAATAGTAATTCTATTTCAATTTTTTAAAAATTGAATCATAACCAGATTCAACCTTAAACTCTATTGTTCACGGTCACCACTACCATCATCACCACTACTGCCACCGTCTTCATATCATTATTAATCTAAGAAATATTTGAACTAAAACTATGTATGAAAATTTGGTCTCATTCAACCCCCAATGATAAGACTTGTTCAATTGTTTTTTTCTTGTCTAATTACAAACTTTTAGAAAATATGGCACATATTTATAGTCATCATCACTAATTATATGGAGCAATTTTTCAAAATAACATGGTTTCCTAAAAAATAAAAACAAATGAATTTTCAATTTTGAATTTATTGCAAATATGAAAATTTATTTACAATGAATTCTAATTCTATCTAGAATTCACTTGTGGATGAATTCACATTTTAAATTGATTTACAATAAATGGAGTCTAAGTAAAAAATATATATATTTATGAAAATCTGGTCGCATTCAACCCTCCATTAATAAGCATTATCCAATTTTTTTTTCGTTGCCTAATTACCAGCTTTTAGAAAAAATTGGCACATGCTTCACTTTCTATAGTCAATATCAATAATCACAGAGAGCAAGTTTCCAAAATAATGGGTATTTTAAAAAATAAAAACAAATAAATTTTTAATTTTTAATTTATTCCAAATATGAAAATCGTTTATAAATGATTCTAATTTTATCTAGAATTCATTTAAAACTATATTTTACATTTTGAATCTATTTATAAGAAACAAAGCTTTAAGTAAAAGAATATGTATGAAAATCTGGTCCTAATAAAACCCCAATAAGCTTGTCCAACTATTTTTTGTTGCATAACTTCTAGCCTTTAAGAAAAGTTGCCACATGTCTTACCCTCTATAGTCAAAATCATTAATTGTATAATTTAAGGTTGAATGGTGTGGCATAGGGTTAAAGGACCAATAGCTTAGGTTTACGAAAAAGCTTTGATCCATTGATTAAAAGATTTCTTTTTTTTATTTGAATAATAAAAAAAAAAGCATTAAATCCAAGTATATGTTGAAAATATATAAACCAATCTTAAAAACAAATAAAGTTAAATCTATATCTTATAATTTTCTTTTAATCTAAAACTTATATATTATATCTAATTAATTAAATAATATACGTGAAGTAAAAATAAATATAAATGTTTCAGCAAAATAAAACAAATAAAAAAATGTTTGAATAAATAAATTCTTAAAATGTGATTTATATTTCTATGAATGGTTTTTACAATATTTTTGTGTGTATATTTTAAATTAATTTTACAATTTAAAATAATGATATAATAGTAAAAGAAAAGTTAGTTTTCATTTGATTTGATTTATAGGTGAGCAAAATATATGTAAGTCTATTTCAATATATTATATAAAATTTCAGTCGATTCTGAGTATAATTATATCACTACATGTATTATGCATAAAGAACAAAATAGGTATTACAAAAATTGTAGATGTATGAGATTTTTCTTAGAAACTCAACTCTACTTCTGCAATTAATGTGGTTAGTTGTAAAAGAGTGGCTCTCGCTCCCTACGAAACTTTTTGGTACAAAGTTTAGCTATCACTACACAATAACACTTCATCTATATATGTACTAAAGTTATCAATGAAAACACAGTCTCTCTGCAATGGAGTACCTGCAACAATTCTCTATTTTCTCGGCCTTGTTCACTTTCCTCTTATTTATCTTTATTCTACAAAGAAAACCCAAAACCTCCAAAAAATTAGCCCCAGAGCCATGGAAGCTACCAATAATAGGAAACATGCATCAGCTCCTCGGCTCTCTCCCTCATCACCGTTTAAGACATTTATCAAACCAATAATAGGGAAACATGCATCAGCTCCTCGCGCTCTCTCCTCATTCACCGTTTAAAGGGAATTTTATCAAACCATACGGCCCTGTAATTGCATCCAAGCTCGGCCAAATTTTCCAATAATTGTCATTTTCTTCGCCCGAAGCTGACCAAACAAGTTAATAAAACTCAACGAACCATTCATTTTCTCCCAAACCCCGGGGGGCCGGCCTTTTTTTTTTTTTTTTCTCCCCCTTGCAGGGAGATTATCTTTTATAACAATTCAAATATCTTTTATAACTTCAAAGACATCGCTTTAGCCCCTTACGGCGATAGTTGGAGACAGATGCGTAAGATTTGTACGCTTGAGCTATTAAGCACAAAACGCGTAAGATCATTTAGAGCAATCCGAGAAGAGGAGACATCAAATTTTATTAGATCAATTTCCAGTTTATCGGAAGTTAATATTAGTAAGATGGTGTTATCTTTATCCAATGCCATTACTTTAAGGTCTGCATTTGGTAAGGTTTCGGAACGCCACGAAGCTTTCTTGCCACTTGTGCAGAAAATTGTGCTGGTGTTGGAAGGTTTTAGTGTTGCTGATATTTTCCCTTCTGTTAAATTTCTTCATGGAATTACTGGGATGAGGAGTAAAATGGAGAAGTTGCATCAAGAAGCGGATATAATGCTTGAAAACATAATTAATGAACATAGAGAAAATAAGAGATTGGGTAGAAGCAATTCTCAAGGCAAAGAAGATGATCTTGTGGATGACTTGATCTTGTTGATGTTCTTTTGAATCTTCAGTGTGGTGATAGCCTTGAATTCCCCCTGAGGATAGAAAATATAAAAGCAGTCATGTTGGTGAGTGCAGTTACTATATGGCCATTTTTTATTTATTACAGATATGAGATTTTAGGCTTGAGTGATTATATTTATATATACTAAAGTCTAATTATTATTGTTTAGGACATGTTCCTGGCTGGAACCGAAACGTCTGCTACAGTAATTGAATGGGCAATGTCAGAAATGGTAAAAGATTCAAGAGTGATGAAAAAAGCGCAAGAAGAGATAAGGCAGGTTTTTAATGAAAAAGAAAATATAGATGAAACAAGATTTGATGAACTGAAGTACCTAAAATTAGTTATTAAAGAAACTTTGAGATTACATCCTCCAGCTCCTTTACTTGCTCCAAGAGAATGCCTAGAGGCAGTGGAGATCGATGGGTATGAAGTACCAATCAACACCAAAGTCATTATTAATGCGTGGGCAATTGGAAGGGACAGTCGTCACTGGAATGAAGCTGAGAAATTTTATCCAGCACTGGAATGAAGCTGAGAAATTTTATCCAGAGAGATTTCAGAACAATTCTATTGATTTTAAAGGGAATGACTTTGAATTTATTCCATTCGGTTCTGGAAGAAGGATGTGTCCTGGTGTGACATATGGTTTGGCTGTTGTTGAGCTTGTACTTGCAAATCTGTTATACCATTTTGATTGGAAACTGCCCAATGGACTGGAAGCTCATCAGTTGGACATGTCTGAAACTTTTGGAGCTACAGCTAGGAGAAAAAATGAACTACACTTACTTGATTCCCATTCCGTGCAGCACCTCACTGTTGGAAACATAAATTGAAATGTATTAAACGAAGAGAGTAATGAAGTGAAGACTAACTTACGGGTTGCAGCTCAATTTACAGTACAGGCTGAAAATATGGAAAGAGTTCTTTGGTTCGATCCCCACTAAACGCACCTGCGGGGAGGAACGAAGTGCAAAGAGTGTTAACGGTGACTAAGCCGGATTAGGCGCTCCCTCATAATGGGTCCGGATACCGATGGTTTAACAAAAAAAATAAAGTGAGGACTAACACTACATGTGTCGTATGTGTGTATTAGTGTCAAAGTGTTCTGTCAGATTGTAAAATATTTTGAGAGAGAAATCATCTATGAATAGATAATAGTATGAAGACTTTTGTTTGTATATTCTTTTCGAAGAACATTCTCTGAGAGTTATAGGCCCACCTTATCCTCTATGATTCTGTCCACTAAATTAGTATATGGTAATACTCATAATCAATCATTAAAAGGAAAATTTGAAGGACTAAGAAAAGAACTGAGGAGATTGCTAAGTGAGTGGTGACTAAGAAAAGAACTGAGGAGATTGCTAAGTGAGTGGTGGAGTGCCAACAAAGTTGCCTTATGCAAGAGAGAGTGGTGGAGTGCTACTTTGGATGATGGGAGTTTACTTCAGTTATCAGCAATAACAATTCCAAATATACCGTAACTCGATGAGATTATTTAATTTTCAGGTGTGATATTAAAGCAAATTAAGACACTCCCAGCATATGAAAATCATTTTTTGTACAATAATAGATGTACTACAATGAAATTAATTAAAGAAATTGTTATTAGAGAAGGGAGATTATATGCATGCATTATTTAAAGGAAGCAGTAAGTAACTTTTCAAAGTTGATTTTCTTGCCTTTGCAATTCAACCTAGTACCTCAATTTTCTGTGCATGTATTCCTAGTTGAAAATAGTTTCCAAGCCTACTTAACTCAAGCAAAGTGGTACAAGAACGGCTATGTTCCAAGCATGGAGGAATATATGAACATTTCACTATCATTTTCTTGCTATCCAATGCTTGCAGCAACTTGCCTTCTTTGGAATGAGCAAAATACCTAATAAATATGCCTTTGAATGGGTATATAATGATCCTAAGATTATTCGAGCTTCTGCTATCGTGGGCAGACTTATAGATGACATAGTATCTTATAGATGACATAGTATACCATGAGTTAATTAACATTTTATTCGATGCTAGCTATTTCAATAATAAATTTAATGCGTCTAATATTTTGATTGTATAATTATATATTTATATAGTTTGAGCAAAAGAGAGAACATGTGGATTTTTTTTAAAAACAAGTTTTATCCGCGTATAATAAGCAAATATTAACAGGTTGGGATTGCAAAATCTACCCAAATAGAGTAGCAAATGGATTTTCCTTAAGTAGCACAAAATAATTATTGATATATTGTTAAGATATCGTGTTAGATTTGGTTTGTCATTACTTATTATTGATATAATTTTATGGATTTCGTATTACTATTAAGATTGATTTACTTAAATCTCGATTTCTTTCATTAAAAGATAAGTATTACTTGGGTAGCTTTTGTAAACCAAGAAGATCACCAACTTTGGTGCAACTATAAATATTGTGGCGTGTTGGAGAACTTCGATCATAGATTGTGATAAAAACTTCTATTATTTTTCCCTCTATCCTGTTGTTATTGGTTTCCGTGGCTTCCTCTCCCAAAAGAGGAAAGAGAGAGAGGAAATGGAGGAATTATTTATTTTTATAGCCAATTTTTATGTTATACTACTTTTGTCTGCCCTATTTATGAACTATTCATTAAAATTTAAGGCAATTGATTATCAAGAATACAAACAGAGCACATTACAAATATAAATTCCCACTTTGTATTAATATATGATAATAATTAATAGTTATATAATAAAACAATAAATTAACAATGCAAAAAGAAAAAAATGCAAATCAACACTTCAAAGCTCTAGTTTTGTGTCATATCAGTTTTGAAAGTTCTGTTTTTATATATTTATGTAGATATAAATAGATGGCTTAAAACAACTGAATTTTAGGCATTTATTCTCGTAACACTCTAAATTTTTAATAGATATCTATTATTTTATCAAAATTGTAAGTTTTGAGAATAACTTTACACCTTAGGGTTGACGGATATAATTTCCAATGGAGTAATAATTTTTGTAGACTCATTATGTCCTTAAAGGTGCTTATTAATGACAAAGATTACAACTTGAGAACACGGTAAATCTCTCAAAAATTTTAAGGAGTCATAAAAATAAAATCATAAAGTTCGCGACAATAAATTATAATAAAAGAATTGTTTTTTCAACAAAAAGAAAAAACAGTTAATAAGTAAGAAGATTGAATGCTACCTTAATGTTTTATATAATTTTCTATAATATCTACTTAGGTGTACAAAATTTAATAAATGACTCAATTGTCTTTACTTGTTGTATTTTACTAACCAAATAAAAATGACTTATTGTCATCCATTATTCTTGAATTATATCCTATTACTGTTGATTCTTGAATTATATCCTATTACTGTTGGTTATATATATAAAAGGCAAAAATATAAAAAATAATTTATTATTTATTAAATTTACAAATGTGACAAGTATTTGTAAACGGACAAAATATTTTATAGTTTCTAAATTTCATGTGCTCATTTAAATTTCTAAATTAATATTTGTATAGTCAATTATGTGTGATTTAGTTGATCACCTATGTGAAAAGTGAGAGGTTTCAATTAGTGAGGGCTACCCTTGTTATATATCGCATAGTATCGCCCATTGGGTCTCCAAGTGAATAAAAAAAAGGTAACTTAATAAATATCAGAAATTAGATTTTTACATTAACAAAATATAAAAAAAATAAGAGAATGTGAATATTAGTCAAAAATAAAATCAGTAATCTCTAAATTATCCTTATATAGCTTCTATTGGGATGAAGATGAACGGCGATGACAACTATGGGGATGGCAACCGACGACAGCGAAACAACAGTGACAATGACACCAACAACAGCAAGGTTGACGACAACAGCAACGGCAACAGTAATAGTGACGACAATAGCAACGGCGACCGCAACAACGAAGACAATAAAGAAGTATAGTAGTAAATAAATAACGAAAATAATATTATTTTAATATTTAAGATCAAACCCACACTTTAATACAAAGTCTCCATTAAAAAAATAATATTTTTATAAAGTAAATCTCTTACCCATTAGATTGAGTTTCCAGCAACTAAATTGTCACGTGGATTACAAATTTTACATGTCATCAATAAAATCAATTTTCTCTCTCCTCTTCTTTTACTGAACTACGCTAATTATATATTATATTCAATATATATATATATATAGTAAATTAAAATAAATTATATCAAAATAGTTACATTTGAGAAAATAATTATTCCGCCTTAAGATTTTATAAAATTATTTAAGTCATCATCGTTTTTTGTATATTAGATAAATAGCCTTTGAGATTTGGTTCAATCTCGTTCAAAATAAAATACTTTTCGTTAGATGAGAGTAAAAAGTCAAAAATAGCCTGAGGTTTAAAACAAAACTTTCTAATTTTTTCCTTGCTAATAGTAGTGAGTGTGTTAGTTTTTATAAAACGGCAGCGTAAGTATCAAAAGAGAGGAACAAAGAGTAAAAAACGTTTAGGAGTAGAGTATGACACAGACGTAACCACATCCACGTGGAGTCTGACTGGTCGGTTGTTCGAGGTACACTATGTGATGGAAGCAGTGAAGCAAGGATCTGCCGCTATCGGACTCCGATCTAAGACTCTCATGGTTCTCAGATGTATCAACAAGGCCAACTTTAAATTTTTCTCTCACCAGAAAATGGATCTTCAAGATCAATGACTATATCGGCATCACCATCGCTGGCCTTACAGTAATTCTCCTTCCATTCCCTTTTTTCTGCAAAACACATAAACACACCAATAACTTCTTCTTATTTACCTTCTCTTTCTTTTTCTCCTTTCACAGACTATCAAAGCTCCGAAAACATAGAAATCAATTATACCTAGAAAAAAAAAAATGATTTCAAGAACACCAAGTTCAGTTTTAGTTTTATCTGAATATGAAGGTTCTGCTTCAATACCAAGTTCTACAACAGCAATTTTCAAGTATACCCAAATACTCAAAAATTCTAGTTAGTGAAAAATTCGGCTTAAACCCTAAACATTGCAATCAAATAATTAAGAATAAACAAACATATTACCTGTTGTGCGGTGCCCACTCAAGTGGGACACACACACAGTTTGAAAAAAAAAAAAAAGGAAACACGTGTTATTTGAAAATAGGTGAAAGTTGGCATGCAACTTTGACAAAGATGGAGAGCCGTGAATGAGTTATACACGGCTCTCTCATCTTTCTCTCCTATAAATATCAAATGGAGAGGATTTACCTCACAAAACACCACAGATAGAAAACGAAAGAAAAAAAACATGTAGAGAAAGCTGTATTTAGTTTTAGGCAAGGAGTTTTCTTTAAAACTAGGGTAGAGAAAAAATAGTGAGAAATATTTATGGGTTTTTGGGAAACACTTTGAGTGCCCACTATTTTTGTTATTTACTCTTTTGTTTACCTACTATTTGTAATAGTGGAGATGATTCCGGAGTTGTCTCGTGGCGTTAGCTTCTAACAGTTGAGCTAACCACGAAATTTCTTGTATGTCCCATTTCTATTTTTTCGTCTGCGATTAATTTTCTCTTAATTGATTGAAAGGGCTCAACGAGTGGTATCGAGCTGATGACCCACAACTGTATCGAAGCCTGAGCCCAACGAACTGGTATCAGAAGCTGAATTCCTAAACAATGGTATAGAGGCTTATGCACCCAACAACTGGTCAGACCTGAATGCCCAACAACTGGCTATACAAAGCCGAAGGTTTTCAGCAGGTCATCCAGTCAAGATAGCAAGTACCGGATCCGTAAATATATTTGAAATTAATATACCACGAACGAAGAAAATTACGACGGTCCTTGGTGCTGTCCGCTCAGAAAGACGTTGCAGAATCGACTTAGTGAGAATGTAAAATAGTAACTCACCAGTTGGTTAACAGTATTGATGGGCGTTTACTGTGCTGACCGTCCGTTTTCAAGTAAGCCTAGCACTGATTCACGCTATCACTATTCACGTCATACAGTTACTAGTTCGATATACTTTACTATTCATGATTCACTATTCACGATACTAGCTGTTCACGTTATTACGGTTTATGTTGGGTGATGATATTCTGCACAGTCAAAATTGGACAAGCAAAGATGATCGTACTGAATGGGCGTATTACCAATAGTGAGAATGAGGAGATCTCCTTATGGTAATTAAAATGCATTTGAAACTGTTTTAGTTGAACTTAGAACCGAAGACAAACCGAAAGACAAGACTGATGAGGAATGGGCTTTTGAGCATGCGTCCAAATCTCGGTTGACAGATTTGATGATGAAGGTTTCTGTAGCACCTTCAGAAATTATCAGTGGAAACTCACAAAAGGTTCATTTGTGGTAGCTAAAGACCGAAAGCTGTACGTGATGCATGCAAAAACTCTCCCAAGACACTTTGAATGTAGCGGAGAATGATAGTACAGTTGACTTGTGGCATAAACGACTATGTCACATGAGTGAGAAAACTTTGGCAAGAAAGAACATACTACCTGGATTGGATGAAGTTCACCTAGACAAGTGTCTTGATTGTATGGTGGGAAAGCTAAACAAAGTAGCTTTCAAGGTTACCCCTCTTCTAGAATGAAGAATGTATTAGTTCTGATTCATTCAGATTTGTGTGGACAATTGACAATGTCATATGGTGGAAATCGATATTTTGTGATATTTATCGATGACCATTCTAAGAAGACCTGGGTATACACATTGAAGTCTTCTAAACCTGGTTGAGAGACAGACAAACAAGAAGCTGAAGTGTATCAAGACAGATAATGGTGGAGAATACACTGGGCCATTTGATGCTTTCTGCAAAGAGCATGGCATTCGACATCAAACGACATCTCCCAAGACATCGCAACTGAACAGTTTGGCTGAGAGGATGAACAGAACTTTAATGGAGAGAGTTAGATGTCTACTCTCACATGCAAAGTTGTCTAAAAGATTTGGGGTGAAGCGTTACTCACAGCAGTTCGTCGTTCACTATGTTTCCCTCTACAGTATGATACTCCAGAGAGAGTATGCTTAGGAAAGGATGTTTCCTATGATCATTTGCGAGTGTTTGGTTGCAAAGCATGATCATTTGCGAGTTGTATTGGTTGCAAAGCCTTCGTTGCATTATCCCAAAGGGATAAATGGTTCTAAATAGATGTAGACTGTAAACGGTGTGTATTCATTAGTTATGGCCAAACCAATGTTATGCTACTAGGTTTTATGACCCAATCCAGAAGACGTTATAAGAAATCATGATGTTGTATTGTTGGAAGATCAGACTATAAAGATATTGAAGCAGGAGTGCCAATAGATCTGAGTGATAAGACTCAACAGACCATACAGAGAGTCCCTCGAATTAGAACGCAGACAAATTGGTAGATGAAGAAAAATGTTTCCACAAAGAACGAATGTTCCATAAGAACAAGTGCCAGAGTTAAAAAATCCAGAAGTTCCTAATGAAAATGAACCAGATGAAGATTATGGTGTTCATGTTCAACCACCAGCACCGGAAGGTTCCCAAACATTAAGAAGATCTAGTGGAGTCTGACAACCATCTAATAGATATTCAGTCAATGAGTACGTACTCATGACTGACGGGGGATAACTTGAAAGCTTTGAAGAAGCTATGGAAAATGAACACAAGAGGAGTTGGATTGAAGCCATGCAAGATGAAATGAAGTCCTTGCATGAGGATGAAACATTTGAGCTAGTGAAGTTGCCTAAAGGCAAGAAAGCTTTGAAGAACTCAGGATCAAGCAGGAAGAACATAGCTTCCAACCACAATTCAAAGCTAGACTGGTTGTGAAAGAATTCAATCAAAGAAAGGGTATTGATTTTGATCTTTTCATTTTCACCAAATTGTGAAATTGGACATTCCATTCGGACAGTGCTCGAAACTGGCTGCCAGTTTTAAACTGAAATCGAGCAAATGGAATGGAAAGACTACCTTCCTACATGGAGGATTCTGAAGCAAGGAAATATACATGAGCAGCCAGAGCTTTCGTAGAGAAAAGAGGATTGGGTTTTGCCCAAATGAAGAAGAGCTCTGTACGGCTTGAAGCAAGGCACTGAGACTCATGGCTACAAGAAGTTGAGTCTATTATGAGGGGAGATGGCTACAGAAAGACACTTCAGATCACTGCTGGTTTCTATTCTCTGATGATGACTTGATGACTACATTGTTTTTGCTCTGTGTGGATGATATGTTGATTGTTGGTCAGAATTCTAGCTTGAAGAAACAGCTAAGTAAGTCTTTTGCCATGAAAGACTTGGGACGAACAAAGCAAATTCTTGGCATGAAGATCGAAGAGCCAAGAAATTATGGTTATCACAGGAGAAGTACATTGAGATAGTACTTCAAAGGTTTAGAATGGAAAACGCTAAAGCGGTTAGTTTTCCTCTTCCTAATCACTTTAAATTGAGTTCTAAACATTGCCCTTCTACGGATGGAGAGAAGGAAGAAATGGAAAAGATTCCATATGCTTCAGCAGTTGAAAACTTGATAAATGCCATGGTTTGTACACGGCCAGATATTGCTTACTCAGTTGGAGTAGTGAGTCGGTTTCTTTTAAATCCTGGAAAGGAACATTGGACTGCAGTGGAACATTGGACTGCAGTGAAATGGATTTTCAGGATATTCAATCACATTTGCAGGAGAAGCTGTGTCGTGGCAGTCAAGATTACAGAAGTGTGTTGCTCTGTCAATGAAGCGTGCAAGGAGTTGCTGTGGATGAAGAAATTCTTGATTAAACTCGAAATTCATCAAGAATGATATCAGATATTTTGTGACAGTTAAAGCACAATTCACCTTGGAAAGAATTCCTCCTTCCATTGAAGATCAAAACACATTGGTGTTAGATATCACTGGATCAGTGATGTAGTGGAGATGAAGCTGTTACAGCTTGAGAAGATCCATACAGAAGAAAATGGATCAGTCATGTTGACGAAGATTCTTTCAAAGGAGAAGTTTGAATACTGACGGTTAGCTGCAGGAATGAGCTAACGTCCCCACTTGAGTGTGCAAGGGGAGATTTGTTGTGGCGGTGCCCACTCAAGTGGGACTCACACACAGTATGAAAAGGAAAAAAAAAAAAGAAAAACGTGTTATTTGAAAATAGGTGAAAGTTGGCATGCAACTTTGACAAAGATGGAGAGCCGTGAATGAGTTATGCACGGCTCTCTCACGGCTCTCTCATCTTTCTCTCCTATAAATAGGAGAGAATTTCCTCATACACACCCACCAGCGCTTAAAACGAATGAAAAAAAACTGTAGAAGAGAGTGATCTAGTTTTAGGAAGGGTTTCCTAAAACTAGGGAAAGAGAAAAAAATCAGTGAGGAAATGTATTATGGGGTGTTTTTGGGAAACACTTTGAGTGCAAACTATCTTTTGTATTACTCTCTTTGGTTGTTACCTACTATTTTTTTAAAAAGAAGAATGATTCGGAGTTTAGGAGTTTATCCCGTGGACGTAGCCCTAAATAGTTGAGGGTGAACCACGTAAATTTCTGTGTGTTCCATTTTTATTTTTCCGCTGCGTTAATTTTCTCTTAATTGATTGAAAGGACCCAACGAGTAGTATCAGAGCTGATGCCCAACAACTGGTATCAGAGCTAATGCCCAACATTACCAGGGTCGAGAGAGCGAATGCGATTGGAGAGGATTTGAGTGCAGTTGTGGCAGAGATCTCTGAAGAGGAAAGGAAGCAAATTGAAGAGAACAGAGCTGGTGGCATGGAGGATTTGAGTGCTTTAAATAGTTCTTGATTCGATTCATAGAAAATTATAGGTCTTTAGTTAGTTTCCTTTGGTTTGATTCGGTTTCATCTCATTAAGGATATCATTTCTCATTTAAAAATATGTCCCTCTTCTCTCTCCTGTTTTTTACACTCATTTAACATTAAAAGAGAATGAGAGGACTATTTAACGAGACGACATAAAATTTCAGGGACTATTTATTTAATATATAAACAATCGAGGGTGAATTAATTAATTTTATAAAATCTAGTGACAAAATAATTAATTTTCCTATATTTAAATGTGATTTTTTATTCATTCCTACCTAAGCCCTTATAGACAAGGTTTATTGTAGGTTGAGATTGAATGGCCAAGTCTGGATCGATCAAATCTAAAATTATTTCATTTTAGGGTTAAATATATTGTTTTCTTAACATAACGTTTTATTTGTATTACAAATATTTTAATCATGTGTCAATTCCAACTTTAACTAGTATATCCTTGAAAATTAACAAGACAAAACATATTGTTTAAAAAACCATAATTATTTTCCTCATCAATAAATTATTCAAGTAAATGTTATTTTCTTATAATTCAGTACTATTCTAGGGCTCCGTAGCCGACTAGGAGAGGGATATTTCAAATTTTTAATAATAATAATAATAAAATACAAGCCAATTTTTATGTTATACTACTTTTGTCCGCTCTATTTATGAACTATGTATTGAAATTTAAGACAAAGGCTACGGTGAGGAATTACCCTTTCTGATTATTTTCTAAAGCTTGTCTTATACAAGGATGTATTTCAATAAAAATAGAAAAAAGAATTTAATTTTTAACCTGAAATTTGTTATGAAGACAATCAAAAATTTCATCCGTAGTTTAATTTCGTTTAATACAAGTATAAGATTGTCATTGGATTCATACTCAAACACAAGTACACAAGTTAAAGACATTTTCCCTATAAATACTAAGGTGTATGGAAGCCGTTTGGCTAAGACAAGCAAAATATAATAAAACATAGAAGTAAGCAAAATATGTCTGCTCAAGTTTCAGCAGTTCCTACATCTGAAGTTAGACGATCTTCTGCTAATTATCATCCAAAAATTTGGGAGGATCATTTCTTCACACGTCATGATTCAGACTCCGAGGTTAAGTATTAATTTCTTCTACATGGCTGTTTTATGATCAGCCGTAGAAGTTTAATTTTCGGTTCTTTGAAGGAATTACAAGTTAAATAAGTACTCTGAACTCATATGGGATTCCAATACTCCAAAACACATACAATGTACACACGTTAAAGACATATTTCCCTTGACGTATACTAAGGTGTATGGAAGCCGTTGGCTAACACAACCGAAAATAAATAAAAAGACATAGAAGTCAAGCACGTAAATTAGTGTCTGGGCTACAAGTCTTCAGCAGTTCCTACATCTGAAGTATAGACGATGCAAGCAAAATATAATAAAACATAGAAGTAAGCAAAATATGTCTGCTCAAGTTTCAGCAGTTCCTACATCTGAAGTTAGACGATCTTCTGCTAATTATCATCCAAAAATTTGGGAGGATCATTTCTTCACACGTCATGATTCAGACTCCGAGGTTAAGTATTAATTTCTTCTACATGGCTGTTTTATGCGTATCATTTTGTCGTGTTAGCTCGCGTTTTAGATGGGATTAATTCGTTTGTATCTTTTGATTCAGCAGAAAATTGGCATTATTTCAAGTGAAGAACAATTTGAAGGACTAAGAGAAGAAGTGAGGAGATTGTTAAGTGAGGGTAGCCCAAATTTGGCTTTGATTGATGCAGTCCTACGCTTAGGCATTGGTTATCATTTTACTAGTGAGATAGAAAGGGCATTGGAAAAACTTCATCATCATCACTGCGTTACTGACAGCAATGATCTTTGCACCGTTGCTCTTCAATTTCGTTTGCTTAGACAGCACGGCATTAAGGTTTCATGTGGTAAGAAATCTTGTTTTTCTGTTTTTGGAAGAAATATAGGTACATGGGGAACATTTAAAATGAAAGATATCAATTCAGGGCATATCCGATCCATGAGTCTCTTGTTATTTATTTTGCAGATATAATTCAGGCATATTCCGACGTCCATGAAAGTTTCTCTGTGTTAGTTATATTTTTCTAGGAATTCCGTATTGTAAAAACTTTTAAAGATTGTGATAAGAGAACGATGTCTAAAGAGATCCTTAAAACTCATGGATGTGGAATGGGTATGCTTAGTTTAATACGAGGGAGCAGCACAGTCTGGCATTCAAGGGAAGAATCTTAGATGAAGCCATTAAGATTCACCCACCACAAAACCTGCACGAATATAGCCATCTTAGATGAAGCCATAGATTTCACCACCACAAACCTCCAATTACTATTACCTCAATTAAGTTCTGACCTCGCAAATGAAGTTAGCCATGCCCTCAATCGACCCATCCGCAAATGTTTGCCAAGGTTAGAGGCAAGGCATTATATTGAAGTCTATGAACGGGAGAAATCACACAATAGTACATTACTAAAGTTTGCGAAGTTAGATTTCAACAGGTTACAACAACTACATCAGAAGGAACTACGTGGCATCTCTGAGTAAGTTCAATTAAATTAGCCATGTATGTGATATATGCTTACAAGTAAATTATTCTATAGAGATTTAGGAAAGATTGACCTTGAAGCGAACTTGTGATTCAGGTGGTGGAAAAACTTAGACGTACCAACAAAGCTGCCTTATGCAAGAGATAGAGTGGTGGAGTGCTACTTTTGGATGATGGGAATTTATTTTGAACCCAAATATTCATTTGGAAGAAGGATGATGACAAGAGTCGTGGCCACTTTATCCCTACTCGATGATACTTATGATAACTATGGTACATGTGCAGAACTAGAGATCCTTACCGAAGCTATCCAGAGGTTAACTCATTAATTTAACTACTTTATTAATTTATCATCTAATTTATCATGTTCGAAATTTTTAAAATTTTGAACTTGAATAAACCCTTAACCATCAATTCGTAACCAGTTTTAGTTTAATTACAATTTGTTTTGGGCTCAAAATAGTTCCGCAGCCATGTCAATTTATTATGTTTTTGGCTCAATGTTTAAATAAGAGTTAATTTGATATTATTGCTATATATTGTCAGATTTATAACAAGTAATTAATAGTTAAGGATTTTTATCAGCCAATGAATTATAAATTTTTACAATAAAAGTTTTGAGCACAAGCTCTTTTGCGAATTAGTTTTAAACTCATAAAAAAACTATATTGTAACATGTTATTACATTCATAGGCTAATAAACTAAAATTTATTTTGGCCTAAAGCCTGTTATTAATAATAATTCCAAACATATACTTAACATGTTATTACATTCATAGGCTAATTAAACTAAAATTTTCTTTTGGCCTAAAGCCTGTTATTAATAATAATTCCTCAAACATGTATCCTAACTCGAATGAGATTATTTAAGTTTCAGGTGGAATTTACAGGAAAATAAAGGCATACACTTCCATAGTAACATGAAAATTATTATTAATACTTTAGTAATAGTATGTTCTATAACTGAATCGAAAGAATTTTACTATGAAGAAGACATTTATACTTGTCTCATTATTTGAAAGAAGCAGTAAGTAATCTAATCGAAAGTAGCGTTTCCTCAATGCCTTTGCCAAATGAATCGTATTATGTTATACTAATTTTATTTATGTTTTCATTTATTTATTTTTGTATGTCCTAGCTTAAAGATGTGTTGTCCTGATCTTATTCTTAGCCTTGAAGCCAAAATGCGCCGACACATGGCTATGTTCCAAACAATGAGAACTATATGGAACATTTCATCAATAAACTACTTGTTATCCATTGCTCGCAAACAATCTTTCCTTCTTGGAGCCCATGGGTGAAACAAGCTAACCAAATATTTGCGTTTGATGGGTATCTAATTGATCCTAAGATTGTTCGAGCTTCGGACGTATTGTTTGCAAGACCACTTAACATTTTTATTCTTATGATATAACATCTTCATACGGTCAATTAACATTTATTCTATGATCATTTCATAATGAATTAAGCGTCTTAATATTTGATTGTATGCAATATAATATATTTATATAGTTATGATTGGAGCAAAAGACAGAGAAAAAACCATGTGGCTTCAGGCTATTGAAGTGTTACATAAGAGCAACATCTGTGTGGTTCAGAGGAAGAGGTAGATAAAATTTGTTTTACCGGAAACGAGATTGGGAAATGCATGAATAGACCTATGAATGAGTGAGTGCCTAAAGCAACTCCCAGTTCCTTCCCTTATATCTATCAATCTACTCTGCATATGATATAGCATAATACAGATGAAGTGTTATGATAGCCTCTGTTAGAGCGAGTTCTGAATCTTACGCGTGCAATGGATGTTATATACAAAGATGAAGATGGATACACTAATTCTCATGTTATAAAAGATTATGTTGCTTCCCTGCTTAAAGATCCAGCAGTTTGAGCAGCATTAGTTATCTTTTCTTGAAATATATACATAGTTCTTTGCGCTTTGTGATGGGATTGACTTATCTAGACTCAGTCTATGTACCCGCTTATGGACCAAACTAATGAAAAATGAATTTTTCTTGAAATGAGAGTATTTCTTAAATTTATTTTCATTAATTTGGTCTATAGGCAAGACCATAGATTCGATCTAAGCAAATATATTCCCATTGAAATAAGATAATAGATGTTTTCTTTATTTTCTTTATTTGATACCTGGATATCCAGTATTTGATAAAGCGAAATGTTTAAATTAATGTAACACATAAATAATGTTAAGGCGACTTGTCATGGTCAATAATATAACAGATTCATCTTAATTTACGTTTTGTACTGAAATTATTATATAGATATTGAACAGGAATTTTGACTAATTTTCACTTCGTAAGCCAATGGTATTTCCCTTGAAAAACCAATATTCTTAACTATTGGGAGATTATCTGAAAAAAAAAGAGCAGAAGAAACATGATTCCGGCGAGATTTCTGATTATATTATTAACATAATATTTAAAAGATATTAAATCAACTTACGAATTGTGATCGGTTGGCAACGCAAGCTGGACATGTAAGAAAAACTATATATCGGGTTCGATCTTACTAAATGCACTTGCAGAATGGTAATAGAGTCCAGATATCATTAGTTTGCACCGAAAAAAAAAAAAAAATCAAATCAGGTGATTAACCAGAGGTCACTACATATAGATCCTCAAAAACTGTTTCATTACTGTCACGACCTATTTCTATGGACCGGACCGGCATTAGGACCTGGGTGGGTTTAAGGCTCCCGAAGCCCGTAGTAAGCCTGTATTACTTAAACTCGCATTCTATTCACAACTGTGGATTCAGGCTCAATAACTTATGTCACAATATATATCTCAAGTACAATCTATATAATAAATATCTGTACTCTATTTATTCATTTACAACTCGGTTGGAATACAATTGCGGAACTCTACTTCATAATTCACTATCCTTTGCGTTTACATATTCAATACAATAATTATAACTCCTATCGATCCGTATCTCGTTCGTTCGATTGGACTCCAACGGAGTATTACAATTACTATTATATGCACGTTTTAAATAAATAACCAGTGGCCCAAAGTAACATGGAGTGATAAAGTTGTTCATATAATGGCTCGAGAGAAAGAGATGGATGTGATCAAGACACCAACCTTAATCATAATTTATTTTCTTAAGTCTAATAATAATATTTGGCATAATTGTTTTCATTTCCTATCCTAAAATGCCAATTCTAATAGTTAAATAGACAAAACAATGGCACGTAGCTGCCATTAAAAGAGTTTTACCTTCTTCCATTAAAAAATTTAAAATTATTTTTTAATTCATTACAAAACTAACTCAATGAACTGAAATAATAATAGGCTAAACAACAGGGCAGCCCTCCTTCGACACACCAAATTGATAAAAACTCTTATGATTATGAGGACCCGACTGAAAACCTCTCACTCCTCACACCAATGAGAAAATCAATCAAATTACACATGATTGGCAAAATTTTAAAATTATTACTTCTAAGAAAAGTCTACTCACGATCTTTTTACATCATTCCCATATATCAAACTAATAAAAAATATTTTACATATCTGAGATATTTCTAATAATTTATTAGGAAAAATATAAATTAAGTAGAAACAATTTTAAAAGAATCATTATTTTCGTTGGTTTGGTGAACCAGGGAACCATATACTAACTTTAAACAAGTTTTATCCGTGTATAATAAGCAAATATTAATAGGTTGGGACCGCAAAATCTACCCAAATAGAGTAGCAAAGGGATTTTCCTTAAGTAGCACAAAATAATTATTGATATAGTGTTAAAATATCGTGTTAGATTTGGTTTGTTATTACTTATTATTGATATAGTTTTATGGATTTCGTATTATTATTAAGCTTGATTTAAGTAAATCTTAATTTCCTTTTCTTTAATTATTTTTGTTGGTGGCTGAATGTTGAAAAAATAAAATTTTTTATTTTAGGATGTATTAGTCACTCCGCAGCGTATTTAATATGCAGAAATGGCATTTGATCAGGATCAATTTGAATCACATGTACCTTTTTTCTTTTAATTATTAATTGAAGTCTTTTTCAATTTTTATTTCCTCAATACTGTAATTACCTAATACTATTTTTTAGAGTATTGTAGTCGTTGATTTTGGAGTACGCATCTCAACATAGTGATCGACCAAACTAATGAAGTCTTTTTCATTTTTATTTCCTCAAATTACTGTACACCCTACCTCCTAATTACTATTCTTTTAGAGTAAATTGTAGTCGTGATTTTGGGAGACGCATCGCTTACAACATAGTTGATACGACCAAACCAGAAATCTATTTTCTATATAGTGGGAGCCCATTTTCAAAAGCTCATTTATTTGACCACAGTTGAATTATATGTCTCAAACAATTAAGTAGCTTAAAATGATTCATTAACTAGTGTGTGATAATCTCCATGGATTCCTATTTGTACAAAGGGTAAGTTTATTTTTTAAATTAAAAAACCTCATTTAAATTAAAAACTCATCATACAACATATTTAATAATTAAGAATAATATTATATAACACTCATCATACAACGTAAGATTTTGTAAGTTTTATAATAATATCTAAACCAGGAGTTGTAATTAAATTTAATTTCAATTAGGGATATCACTTAGTAATCTTAATATATTACTGTTTTATTATAGATTAGCACTATATACACATATGTTTAATTTTTATAAAAAAAATTATTTTCTTTACAAATAAGGTATTTTTAAGGATTATGGATTAATCAGTTATATTAATAACTTTTTCAGCCCGTTTGGAACAAATGAATCATGGTTGTAGAATTTATTTGTAAATAAATTCCAACTAGAATTCATTTGTAAACGAATTTGTCATGTTTGGTATGCCATAATTTAAAATAAGAAATTCAATTGAATTCCACAAAATTATATAAGAATTCAATTTGAATTCCACAAAATTATGTTGAATAAAGTTCTAAATGAAAATTTTTTTCGTCTTTATTTCTGTTTATAAGCCACCCTTGACATAATAATTTAACAAAAATAAATAACAAAACACAAATTATACTTTATTATGTACAATATAATTAACTTTGTTTATATTTTTTATTAAAAATACTAAAATAATAAATTTCAATAAATTCATATAAATAAGTACACTAATATTCCATACTAATTAATTAATTATATAGACAGTAATATTCATTGTGATAATTATTTTTAAATTTTTCTGATTTAAGTAATTAATTTGGAAACTAAAAAATATTAAGAATATTATTATTGTTTTTAATTTCATTTGAAAATAATTGTTGATACTCAATTTTTATAGTTTCACACTAATAATAACTAGACTTTTCTATCATTAAGGATGTTATAATATTCATGTATTTTTAAATATATATTTTTCTATAAAAAGTCAACTTTTCCACTTTTTGAGATTTTCTATATATAGAGAGGAAAGTAGAGATATATTTACAACTTTTCCAAGCACAGATTCTTTTTACTCTAAAATGGAGTATTTGCAACAATTGCCCATTTTCCCAGCCTTGTTCACTTTCCTCTTGTTCATCTTTATTCTACAAAGAATATCCACAAACTTATTCTACAAAGAATATCCACAAACTACTCTGCAAAATTAGCCCCAGGGCCATGGAAGCTACCAATAATAGGAAACATGCATCAGCTCCTCGGCTCTATCCCTCATCACCGCTTAAGACATTTATCAAACCAATACGGCCCTGTAATGCATCTCAAGCTCGGCCAAATTTCCAATATTGTCATTTCTTCGCCGGAAGCTGCCAAAAAAGTAATGAAAACTCACGACATCATTTTCTCCCAAAGGCCTTTTCTCCTTGCAGGGGAGATTATCTTTTATAACTTCAAAGACATCGCTTTAGCCCCTTACGGCGATAGTTGGCTTGACGGCGAGAGTTGGAGGACAGATTGCGTAAGATTTGTACGCTTGAGAGCTATTAAGCACAGAAACCGCGAAAAGATCATTTAGAGCATCGATGAAGAGGAACATTCAAATTTTAGTTAGATCAATTCAGTGTTCAATTTCCAGTTTATCGGAAGTTAATATAAGTAAGATGGTGTTATCTTTATCCAACGCCATTACTTTAAGGTCTGCATTTGGTAAGGTTTCGGAACGCCACGAAGCTTTCTTGCCACTTGTGCATAAAATTGTGCTGGTGTTGGAAGGTTTTAGTGTTGCTGATATTTTCCCTTCTGTTAAATTTCTTCATGGAATTACTGCGATGAGGAGTAAAATAGAGAAGTTGCATCAAGAAGCGGATATAATGCTTGAAAACATAATTAATGAACATAGAGAAAATAAGAGATTGGGTAGAAGCAATACTCAAGGCAAAGAAGATGATCTTGTTGATGTTCTTTTGAATCTTCAGTGTGGTGATAGCCTTGAATTCCCCCTGAGGATAGAAAATATAAAAGCAGTCATGTTGGTTTCCCCCTGAGGATAGAAAATATAAAAGCAGTCATGTTGGTGAGTGCAGTTACTATATGGCCATTTTTTATTTATTACAGATATGAGATTTTAGGCTTGAGTGATTATATTTATATATACTAAAGTCTAATTATTATTGTTTAGGACATGTTCCTGGCTGGAACCGAAACGTCTGCTACAGTAATTGAATGGGCAATGTCAGAAATGGTAAAAGATTCAAGAGTGATGAAAAAAGCGCAAGAAGAGATAAGGCAGGTTTTTAATGAAAAAGAAAATATAGATGAAACAAGATTTGATGAACTGAAGTACCTAAAATTAGTTATTAAAGAAACTTTGAGATTACATCCTCCAGCTCCTTTACTTGCTCCAAGAGAATGCCTAGAGGCAGTGGAGATCGATGGGTATGAAGTACCAATCAACACCAAAGTCATTATTAATGCGTGGGCAATTGGAAGGGACAGTCGTCACTGGAATGAAGCTGAGAAATTTTATCCAGTCACTGGAATGGAAGTCTGAGAAATTTTACTCCTATGAGAGATTTCAGAACACATTCTATTGATTTTAAAGGGAATGACTTTGGGAATTTAATTTCCATTCGGTGCTGGAAAGTAAGGATGTGTGCTGGCTGCTGACATATGGTTTGGCCTGGTTATGTTGAGCTGTACTTGCAAATCCTGTTATAACCATTTGGATTGAAACTGCCCAGATGGTGACTGGTAATTGGAAACTGCCCAATGGACTGGAAGCTCATCAGTTGGACATGTCTGAAACTTTTGGAGCTACAGCTAGGAGAAAAAATGAACTACACTTGATTCCCATTCCGTGCAACACCTCACTGTTGGAAACATAAATTGAAATGTATTATTCGAAGAGAGTAATGAAGTGAGGAATAAGTTACGGGTTGCGGCTCAGTTGATAATGCAAGCTAAAAATATGGGAAGAGTTTTCTGGTTCGATCCCCACTAAACGCACATGCGGGGAGGAACGAAGAGCAAAGAGTCTTAACGGTGACTAAGCCGGATTAGACGCTCTCTCGTAATGGAGTCCGGACACCGATGGTTTAATAAAAAAAATAAAGTGAGGAATAACACTACATGTGTCGTATGTGTGTATTAGTGTCAAAGTGTTCTGTCAAATTGTAAAATATTTTGAGAGAAAAAATCATCTATGAATAGATAATAGTATTAAGACTTTTGTTTGTATATTCTTTTCGAAGAACATTCTCTAAGAGTTATAGGCCCACCTTGTCCTGTATGATTCTGTCCATTAAATTAGTATATGGTAATACTCATAATCAATCATTAAAAGGAAAATTTGAAGGACTAAGAAAAGAACTGAGGAGATTGCTAAGTGAGTGGTGGAGTGCCAACAAAGTTGCCTTATGCAAGAGAGAGTTTACTTTGGATGATGGGAGTTTACTTTAGTTATTAGCAATAACAATTCCAAATATACCGTAACTCGATGAGATTATTTAATTTTCATGTGCGATATTAAAGCAAATTAAGACACTCCCCGAATATATGAAAATTATATTTTGTACAATAATAGATGCACTACAATGAAATTAATTAAAGAAATTTTTATTAGAGAAGGGAGATTATATTGCATGCATTATTTAAAGGAAGCAGTAAGTAACTTTTCAAAGTTGATTTTCTTGCCTTTGCAATTCAACCTAGTACCTCAATTTTCTGTGTATGTATTCCTAGTTGAAAATAGTTGTCCAAGCCTACTTAACTCAAGCAAACTGGTGCAAGAACGGCTATGTTCCAAGCATGTTGTCCAAAGCCCTACTTAACTCAAGCAACTGGTGCAAGAACTGGGCGGCTATTGTCAAGCATGAAGGAATATCATGAAATATTTCACTATCATTTCACTATCAAACCTGACAAAACCAGAGGTGTGCTTAAGACATTCTCTGTGCTTCAGATATTTTATTTTTTTTCTACGAAAGTTTGGAATTTTTTTTTTTTTTTTTGTAATTTCAATTTTTTTTTTTTTTTTTTTGTATTTCGATTGGCCAATATTAATATTTAATTGATTTAATATTTAATATCTTGAAGATTATTGTTAAAACCTCGTCTAATCTAATTACCATTTAACTTGATCCAGCTAGCTTAACTTTTGAATTTTTGAACCTTAAATCTAGCTATGTTTAGCTTATTTGAACACATAAATTCTACCTCAAAACTCAAAATGAAGTTAATTTCTTTTGCTTTTTTTTCTCTTTTCATTTTTTATTTTCATTATTATCTGATTATATTTTTTATGTGTTCTTCGATGAGCAGGCCTTGATATTCTTCTCGGAGGACTTCTGTTTTTCAAGTTTTACAATGAGCAAACCATTGTCTTCTTGACCATGGAATGTGTGTCTAACATGGTCTTAGTATAAATATAAATCAGAAGTCCTGCATTTAGGAAATTGAAATGTAGAAGAATTTGTTTTGATGGACTGAAGTTGATTATGAGATAAATGAGTTGCTATGTATCAGTTCATTTTCCTTATATATATTTTCCTTAATATATCATAATTACTATATTAATATATTTCTTCCCAATACATGTTTTTTTAAATTAAATAATATTTTATTAAATTCTTACCAAATTGTGTTAAATGTTATGAATTCTAACATCTCTATTTAGTTAATTCAAAATAACATGTCAAAGTGTCAAACCTGTACTACTTACTTATCTTCCTATATAAAGCAAAAATACCTGCATTCTTATACTAATTAGGATAGTTTAGTAGATCTATAATTTTCATACCAGGTGATAATAATGTTCAGAATTTAAACAATTATATAAAATAAGAAATTAAGTTTTTTTATTATTTTTGTATTTTACATATTATTTGTATAACTATTATTGTTCTATTTCATTATCATATCTCGTACGTTTCATATTCGGTGTCCCATTCTGTGCAACCCTGCCTTCTGTATATCAAGACTAACCCACATACATTAAGGGTAATCATTAAAAAAAGACAATTAAATTTATTTTTATTTTTGTATAGTTTGAGTTACTATGCTAATAATTTAATTTAATAAATACTTAATTTATTTATATGTATTTTAATTTAATTTAATTTAAACTAATTATATTAACATAAAAATTAAGTATTTTTATTTTATGTTTTTCATTTTTTATAAATGATTGTTTATTTATTATCATATATCTCGTACGTTCCGTATCTCGTGTCCTATGTCCATGCAATCTAGCTCTTATAAATCAAGTATTTCTTATTTTATGGCTTAGGTTGTATTTTAATTAAATTTTAATTTAATTTAACGCATTAGCTTGATGGAATGTAACTAATAGATATTATCATGATAAAGACATTATCTAAAACTATAAAACAATTTATGTTCTTACAATTGCTATCATTACACTTATCTTCTTACAACTATACTAAATAATTATTGTCATCTTCATACTTGGTAATTTTAAAAGCTCACACTTTCAGCAAACTGCTTTCGCTTATATATATATATATTTGTTTCATATAGATCATATATTAGTACTAGTATATAGTATCTACTATATATGAGTATATATTATATAACTAATATATATATATTATCATATATTATATATAATATATAATTAATTGATTAAAAATGCCCAATTGTATTAGGAAATGATAATGTATTTGAACAAAGGCCAAGGGCTATTAATAAGTCTTGATTTTTCTGTATTTATATTATTGATTAAATTGCCATTGTATTATAGAAATGATAATGTATTTAACAAAGGCTAGTAATAAGTCTTGATTTTTCTGTATTTTAAGCATCGTTAAGTTATTAAGACCAAAATTTTAATATATATATTAAACAACTTCAATTCTATTAAAAAACAAAAAAATTGAAAACTAATTTTACATTTTGAATTCATTTATAATAAATAGAGTTTCAAGTAAATATAAAAAGTACGAAAATCTTGTCATAATAAACTCTGATCAGCATGTTCAATTGTTTTTTATTGCCTAAGTTCTAGCTTGTACAAAAACTTGGCACATATTTTACTCTCTATAATCAATATCACTAACCTATATTTATAAAATGGTAAGCAAAAAATATCTTAAAAATATTGACTTGACGCTTTGCTTTTTTTAGCATTCTATATTTGCTTTTTTAGAATTTCAGAGTTTTTTTTTTTCTTTTCTTTGTATAGCATTTTTAAATTAATAATTATTAATGATATCTTATAAAGATAAATATTTCTTTTGTATTAATAATGTTGGGGCGGTGGAGTGGTATTTGAGATGATGATGGTGGTAAAGTGATAGTTGTCGTGGTGATAGGGGTGGAGTGATTGATGGTGGTAGTGGTGGTGTTGGTGTGCTAATTACATTATACATTTACAAACAAACATAAAAAAATGAATGGTGATTACGTTCTATAAATTGTCTTAATTATATTACCAAATATAATAATGGAATTTTGATTACATTCAATTATATTATATTTTTCGTTACATTACATTAAACTAAATGTAGCCTAATTATAAATAAATGCCAAAGCTAAAAGCAATATGATTGTGATTATTTTAGACTACATTTAGTTCAATGTAATCAATTATGTAATAGAATGGATATTATATTACATAGTTGATTGCAGCGTTTGGATGAATTTTTTTCTTACTCCGTGATCTAATGAGTATTACAATTATATTCGGTATTACTTAAAATAATGTAATAGTAATTCTATTACAATTTCTTAAAAATTAAATCATAACCAAATTCAACCTTAAACTCTATTGTTCACAGTCACTATCACCACTGCCATCACCACCGTCACCACAACCATCCTCACCACTACTGCCACCATCTTCATATTATTATTAATATAAGAAATATTTGAGCTAAAATTATGTACGAAAATTTGGTCTCATTCAACCCCCAATGATAAGAATTCTTAAATGTTTTAGCAAAATAAAACAAATAAAATAATGTTTGAATAAATAAATTCTTAAAATGTGATTTATATTACTATTAATGGTTTTTACAATATTTTTGTGTGTATACAATTTAAAATAACGATATAATAGTAAAAAAAAAAAAAAAGTTAATTTTGGTTGATTTGATTTATAGGTGTGCAAAATATATGTAATTCTATTTTAATATATTATATAAAATTACACATAAAAAACAAAGTACGTATTACACAAATTCTAGATGCACGAGATTTTTCTTAGAAAGTCAAATCTAATTCTGCAATTATTGTGATTACTTGTAAAGGGGTGGCTCTCGCTAACCGACGTGACTTTTCGGTCAAAGCTTAGCTATCACCAAACAATAACACTTTTTCTATATATGTACTAAAGTTATCATTGAAAACACAGTCTCTCAACAATGGAGTACCTGCAACTATTCTCCGTTTTCTCAGCCTTGTTCACTTTCTTCTTATTTATCTTTATTCTACAAAGAAAACCCAAAACCTCCTCCAGAAAATTAGCCCCAGAGCCATGGAAGCTACCAATAATAGGAAACATGCATCAGCTCCTCGGCTCTCTGCCTCATC